GCCCTTCACTGGCTACATCAAACTTGATCATCTGTCGTTAAAAGTGATAGAAATTTTGTTAAACGAGAATGAAATGTTTCTCTAAGTGTTCTCGTACAAAATTTATCTATAAATTTCCAAAACAGTCAAAGAAATTCTAATTTTAATTTAATTAGTTACTAGCTCTCTTCTTGCTTCTGCTTTGGCCAGAAGAATCGGGAAAAATCGGGGACATTGATTATCTGCGCGGGCTTTTGCCTCTTAGTGCAGCAGTAAAACGTATCTATGATTAATCTTTTGAAGAGTGGCATAAATAAGTAGTGAAAATTTTTCCATCTTTAGCCTTGTTTTTCTTCAGTGTTTTTTGTAAGTTTTGTTCAATTGCTTTTACAGTTTTATCTTATTTGTTCAGTTTCTTTGTTCAGCTATTTCTTCAATGTTTTAGATGAGAATATTATTGGCTAATAGAGTTTAGTTTTTAAACAAATGTTTTCACTCACGCAGTTTCGCCAATGTTTTATAAATTCTTCTAATTTCTAACATTAATTCACTGTTAACTGTAATAAATGCATAATTGTTGTCGTGTTATACTGTTCACTGCTAATTGCATTTCTTTTCTCGTCTATAAGTTAATGGTAGCAAAAAAATTATATATTTGGAATGCTGTCGAATTTTCGTTAAATGTCACAAATTAATAAAAAAAATTTCTGAAAGCAGTTTGAAGAGTAAATACTGACTAATATTTAGTTGACAGTGTTTCAGAATAATGCAAAAAAGTTGGTTTTTCAGGTGTACATGCATTGCGAAAGAAATATTTCACTGTAGAAGACTTTCTGAAACCTTTAAACGGTAAATTTTTGATGTTATTCTAGACCTACTTTGCCCTTTTCTAATTTCTGCTTATGCAGCTGCAACCACTGCTGTTTAAATTTTGACTTGTTTTACGAAGTAGATTCTTGAGCTGTTTTTATTGTATTCTTGAGCAGAAGAATCTGCATTAATCTTTTATTTACCTATTGTAAACAATTTAAGTTTTAAAAAATAGTTTTCCTCTT